CTTACTTTTCTGTTCATTTTAAAATTTAAAGTTTTGTTTAATTTAAAACGAGTCCCCAATTTTTTAAGTAAGCATCCTCGTTTACTAAATTTATATTTTTACGTTAATTTTTATACTATGTTAATTAACTCTGAAGTAACAGATATGGCAATTCACAATGTTTCAATCACCAAGTTTACGGATCAAGTCAACCCAACTTACAGAAGGGATGGGATATGTGAGAGCTCTAGGAATAAATCTTTGGTATTATTGTTTAACTAAAGATTCATTACATTTCATCAAAGAAAATATTACATGTCAGTTAAAATATATTTTTTTCTGTTAAAATTTTTCTTTCTCCTCTAATATGTAATACTCTCATTGATAAGATGTACTGAATCTAGGTACAGCAGTAGCACTAAAGATTTATTCCTTATTTAAAGTAAGTGGCTTATGATATTTCTAAAATGAGAAACATATTTTAGAGAAAAAATATATTTACTTTTTTTTAAATGATACAATATGTATTATTTTATTCTCATAAAGAAGTGAAACTCATATTTTTTTTTTGTTCACTTTCTCTTTCTTTTTTTATCTATCTTTTTCTCTCATTTAAAATAATATAACTTTATATCCTTTAAAATAATACACATTTTTTTTTGTAACTAAATGATACACATTTTTTTCTCTAGGTAGTATTTGGTTCAGGAGATATTTTTGTTTACTAAGGAAATGTAATTACAAGAAAAAGTGTAGGAAAGTGAATTTAGTAGGAAAGTTTAAAAAAAGTTGTTTGGTACCGCAAAATATTACTGGAAATATTGGGTTAAAATCCTATTGTGTGTTTGGTTTAAAATAAGATTTAGATGAGGATGTTCCAACTTGTCACCATTTTCTTCCCCAAATTTTTTTTATCCGGTTTATGAACAAAAACACCACATTCTTAGATGGATTCATCAACGGTGTATTATCTCCTTTTTTACATGCAATCCAATTTAGCAAGACAACTTAGTTTGATAGATAAAATTGAAGACTTCTTTCTACCAAACATGGAGAAATCACAATAATGACACATGCACTTTCCTAAGACAATTTTAAGAACTCCCCAGCCAAACACTACCTAGAGAAAATCGTCTAGAATTATAATAATTTTATAATATGTGATACATATATATATATATATGCATGCACTCCTTTTAATTTAGTGGCCCAGATATTAATAATTTGATAATATGTGATTGATGAATGATGATACTTCAATTCATAATTATAACTTCAATTATCAACTCAAGTTCGAATCTCGGTGATAGGCATAGCTTGTCCGGATTTCTCACACCTTGGCCTGGGAAACATGGAAGATAATTTGGATTCTTAGAGTGACTGGTTTATATTTAGTGGCACGTCTTAATATCAAGAGAGACAATAATCTAATATTCTTTTTTTTCTGTTAGTTGTATAACATAATATATATAATCAGACAGAACATGTTGTTTGTCGGGACTGATAAATAAAAAAAGAAAAGGAATTTTTATTAGTTTTGGAAAGTTTTATGCTAAATTTGTAACCGCGTAAGCCAACAAAACGAATGATGCCAGAAGGGGTATGGCTGAGTTGTAATAGTGATCCAAATCCGATTTCTTGTGTTCTTGTATCAACCATTTATTTATCCAAATCAAATATGAGTTTGGTGTTTGTCATTTTAAATGACATAAGTTATGTCATTTTAAGATAGAGATAAACACAGAAAAATAGAAATCATGGGAGAGAGAAAGTGAGTGATTTTTTTTTAATTTAAAATTCAAATTTTCTGTGTCTGTATCTCTATTAAAATAACATAACTTTATGTCATTTAAAATGACAAACACTTTTCCCATCAACTATTACCCAAAACAAACGTCCGTTTTGTGTCTAAACTTCAAATGCTAAGTTCATATTAATTAGCTATATTGGTTTTAATATTTTATTCAATCATATCCCGAATACATGATTGATTAATTAAAACAAAATACATAAATGAATTACGTTAACCACAAAACCAAAATGCCAAAAAAGGCGAAATAACAAGGCAACAAGATAAAAGAAATGGGATAATGTGTAGTCACTCCAATGTTTAAATATATGACTCTGATCTAGCATATCATCTGTTATATTATAATTATCTGCATGTGGTTTAATTTATTTATAAAAAATAAAAATTTGATTTAGCATGTTAAAAAAAAGGAAAAAGTGTTTGTCATTTTAAATGACATAAAATTATGTCATTTTAAGAGAGAGATAGACACAAAATAAATTTTTTATTTAAAATTTAAATTAAAAAAAATCACTCACTTTCTCTCTCCTATGATTTCTATTCTTTGTGTATATCTCTCTTCTAAAATGACAAACATCAAACCCTAAAAAAAAATTAAGACAATAAAAATTTATCCAAACAGAATATATAATCAACAACCCTAATAATTTCAATAAGATTCGTAAACTCAATGTATATACAAACAACAAACAATATAATAACAAAATCATTCAAAAAATTTGTTTAATCAATAAAATAGGGTTAAATAGGTTGATGAGAGAGAGAACTTTTATAAATAATATAAAAAATATAAAATAAAAATAAAAATAAAAATTAGTATATTAGACCATGAGACTCTAAGACCGAATTTTTGAATTTGAGCATGAGATTTTTTTATTAAATGAATTAATGAATTTTTATAGAAGTTCAAATCTAATTATAATAATTAATTTTAGATATATAAATCTAGATTTTCAGAAGTTGGGGCAAAGGCCACTAAAAGCCCTAATTCCTTTACCACCCTTAGTTATAAGAGTGATCCAAATCCGTTTTCTTGTGTTGTACCTACCATTTATTTTCCAAATCAAATATTACCCAAAACAAACGTCCCTAAATGTCTAAACTTCAAATGCTAAGTTTATATTAATTAGCTATATTGCATGTCTTGGTTTTAATATTTAATTCAATCATATCCCGAATACATGGTTGATTAATTAAAAACAAAATACATAAATGAATTACGTTAACCACAAAACCAAAAAAGGCGAAAATAACAAGGCAACAAGATAAAGAAGAAATGGGATAACGCATACTCACCAACAGGTCAGCAAAACACACCTACTTCCCCCCCTAATCAATCCCTCCGACCAGATTGAATATAAAAGAGAATCGCAATTTTGTCAACAAAATATTTATTACAATCAATTGAGCAATAATTAATATCACACGAGATTATTATTTCACAATATAAAAAATAATAATTCAGAAAAAAAGATTGAAAAAACAAGCGATAATATTATAATAAATATTTTTCTTTTATCTCTGGAAAAGGAAAACAACTAGAACCAACCTAGTAACACACAGTGAATCAGTGATCCTTTCATTACCATTTTCTGGTTCTGACCTGGTCGCATTATCTAATTGTTATCCTTTCCGACAGTTTTGGTCCCGATTTCCTATAAATACACTTTACTTCTTACAGACACCTTCCCTCTATTGTTCATACACTGTATTCACCTTCTTCTTTCTTAGGAATCTGCATCTTCTTTCTCATGTAAGTCCCTCTTGTTTTTTTTTTTTTTTTTTCTTTCCCTCCTTCTGTTCTGTTGCGTTGTTGTTTATTGTTCTATTTATGTCTCTCTATTACATACAGATCTACTAACATGTTTTTCTGGAAACTCATATTCTGGTTCGATGGATCTTTTATTTATTTATTCTTTGTTTGTCATGGCTGAGGTTTATGTACACTAGTAAATTTATTAGATTCCATAACCTTAAGGCTTTGTAGATGATTGTGGTAAAGATTCATTATATAAATCAATTGATTCCCTTATCGGAAACAGTTTTCCACTTCCAAACAGGTTTTGAAGTTTCTCGGTTTTCTGATCGATTTGGTATTTCTCATCTATTTTGTTGTTGGTGTGGTTTTTTTACTTTGCAAACACATGTGAATTATATCATCAACATTACGTTAATTCCAGATCTGATGGCTACTTGTGCTTCTGAATTTTTTTATTTATTTTTTAATTTGGCTAAGGATCTTTGTCTCCTCTTATTCGTCTTAAGATAATTAACAGACGTAATAATCTGCCAAATTTATTATAATTATCCTTTTTAATCCTTTTTTTTATGTTGAGATGACACGCATCTATGAATAATGGGCTTTCTAGAAAACACTGGAGGCTTATATTATTTAGATGTTAATCTTCTACGCATTTTTGTCCAACTGATATTTTGTAGCAACTGTCATATAGAATTTAAATTATGTTTAGTTTTCCACCCAAAATAAAAAATAATGTTTAGTTTATCTTTATCTTGGTAAGGTTGATTTATCTTGTCCAATTAGTTGTTTTGTTAATGAAGTTAACTGCCTAATAACATAATTTGAAGTTAACAAAACAACTAATGAGATAGATAAACCAACTTAGGTAGATAAACTAAACTAATCAAGATAAAGATAAACTAAATATAGTTTAAATTATATATGACAGTTGCTACATATTTGCATCAAAAGGAATGGTGATATACTTTTTTAACCCTTCAGATTGAACTTTTTCCTCATTGATTATGTATATATTCACTGAAATATTTCAAGTTATTGTGTTGACTTTTCTTTCTTCTTATTTGATCCATTCAGCAAATATACACTTGAAGAAAATGGAAATCACAGGTGGCTAAGTCTTGGCAAGTTCTATGGCCTACACTGGTATGATTTTGTGTTTTTTTGTTCATAATTTTGTTGATAAACATCAATTATTTTCTATTTTTAACTTCAAAGTATAACAACTCTTTTCCATAATTTATAGATATCTGGGAAATGTGTGAAGGAGGATACAACATTGGCAGCTTAAGAAATAATTGGCACAAAACTAGCAAGAGGAATCACTGTAGTAGGAGAACAACTGTTATGGACTTTGAATCAGACTGGACGAAGCACAGAAAATCATCTGCTTATACTGCTCAAGTGATTCGTTCTGCAACATCTTTTATGCCTTGGTCTTGTAGAATCCCAATCGGTGAAGGATTTTACGAATTACTTTAGTTATATGCTTCTCAGTTAGACATTTGCGCTTTACTTGGTGGATTCTTCACGACAATAATTCTCTACACCTCATGTTATGTGATGTGTAATTGCTGATTTGATAAATGCCTGGTTTTGTTGTTAGAAAGAAGAGATTTTCAGAGCCAAATATGTGTTTCACCAATTTAGTCAATCAAGATAAATTAACTCGTTCACAGAGCGATCATTGCATAACCTCTGAGGCACAGCATAAAGATGATAGTTCCATTCTACCTGGGCTGCCTGATGATGTGGCAAAGCTTTGCCTTGCACTCGTGCCTCGTTCCAACTTCCCTGCTATGGGTGGTGTCTGTAAGAAATGGAGGTTGTTTATTCAAAGCAAAGAATTCATATTTGTGAGGAAATTGGCTGGGATGCTTGAGGAATGGCTCTATTTCTTAACAATGGACAGTGAAGGAAAGGAAACCTGTTGGGAGGTTGTGGATTGTCTCAGTCATAAATGCAGATCTCTTCCACCAATGCCTGGTCCATTAAAGGTGGGGTTTGGGGTGGTGGTTCTCAATGGAAAGCTTCTTGTTATGGCTGGTTATTCAGCTATTAAAGGAACTTCCTTTGCATCAGCAGAGGTTTACCAATATGATTCTTGCCTCAACAGGTATATTTCTCTTCTGCATTCTATCCGGAAAAATCTTTGGAATTTTATTACATTATGATAAATTCTGCTATGTAATTTAGTTAATGGTAGACCTAGTGTCCTATTTATTATTTGTGAAACTTACTGGGGTGTTACTCTTATGGATTTTCTCATGTCATAATTTTTTAATCTTCTTTTGACTTGTTGCATTCTCGATTGCAATTGCAGTTGGAGCACGTTATCAAACATGAATACGGCTCGTTATGACTTTGCTTGTGCTGAAGTCAATGGCTTGGTTTATGCTGTTGGAGGCCATGGGGTGAACGGCGTGAGTCTCTCCAGTGCTGAGGTGTATGATCCAGATACTAACAAGTGGACTCTGATAGAGAGCCTTCGTCGCCCGAGATGGGGTTGTTTTGCTTGTGGATTTGAGGGTAAGCTCTATGTCATGGGTGGAAGGTCAAGCTTTACTATTGGAAATTCCAAGTGTGTTGATGTATATAACCCTGAGGGGCACAGCTGGTGTGAGATGAAGAATGGATGTGTTATGGTCACAGCTCATGCAGTATTGGAAGAGAAGTTGTTCTGTATGGAATGGAAGAACCAACGAAAGTTAGCAATATTCTGTCCAAAGGACAATTCATGGGAAATGGTACCAGTTCCATTGACAGGGAGCTCAAACATTGGTTTTAGATTTGGTATACTGGATGGAAAGCTGTTGCTATTCTCACTTGAGGCTGAACCTGCTTATCAAACATTGTTGTATGATCCAAATGCAGCTGTGGGGTCAGAATGGCAAATTTCTGATATACGTCCATCTGGTTTGTGCTTGTGCAGTGTAACAATTAAGGCATGAAACCTTGTCTGGCTCTGAACTGGTGGCTGGAGTGGAGAGATTCTTGAGAGTCGGGGGATATAGCTATGGAGTTTTCTTCATTTTACTAAAATCTTGGACAGTAATGACCGTGAGTGTCCCTCATGTCAGATTTTAATTTTGTGGTTTTGCTTGTGATGTTAGCTACTACTTAGTTTTATCATGTTATCATGCATGCCCTTTATGTCTCTGGGGGATTAAGTCCCTCGTCTAGTAATTATCAACTTTGAGCAGAACTATTTGATATTATGGTGGGTGGATTTTTGTTTAATGTTCTCCTTTTGTATTATAAAGTGATAACGTTAGAATTTTAAACCCAATCTCTAGAGGCTGGTGGTGCACGTGGTCGGTGTCAAATTTAATTGCAAAAAACAAAAAACGATAGTACATATACTTCTTATAGACAACATATTTTAGCACCATCAACATATTGTTATGGGCCGAAGGTATGAAATAGGTTATACAGTATGAGGGTCCGTTCGATATCACCGAGGGAAAGTAAAATAAAAGAATAAATGTCAAAAAACTAAAATATAAACTACCTGAATTTGTTGTCCAAATTTGATTTTAAAAACTAAAAAGTAGATATTGTTTTTACAAAATAATCATGTAGACTATGGTAGTTAAAATTTTGATTTAAATCTGTGATTTTATAATTTTATGATTTTTTATAATCAAAATGATTTTATCAGAATTTCAAACGCTTTTACAATTTTTTAAGATTTTTTTTTGAGTTAAGATTTTACGTTTTATGATTTTTTTATTCTTTTTTCGATGTTAGTTAAAATTCTGATTTTAACTATTATGTGTTCAGACAAATATTTTTTGTTTTCATATTTTTAAAATTAAAAAACTGTTTTGTGAAACAGAAATAAAACAGACCTTATAATATGCCATATAAGTATATAACCCCCACTACACAGGTAATCGGGCTAAAATCGAACTCAAAATTGATTGGGCAATAAGAACCTGATTTCAGCCCAAGCGTGATCTGGCTGGTAATATAATTTTGATTAAAATGACATAATTTTATGTTTTAAAAAAAATAAATATTAATCTTTAATTTTATTTATTAAATGTGGTAAGCTTATGAGCATATTTGATAAATATGATAATACTATAATTCAATAAAATATAGTGAGCTAGGACCGGGCCAACAACTTTAATTAAATGGATTGTAAATTTTTTTTTTTAATCCGGTTACCTTTTGTTACTTGTTTCAATTCAATCTCGAGTCATTTATCAATTTCCTGTATGTTTGTGAATAATTTAATTTTAACAAATACTTATTTCAAAAAATAAATAAATACAATGTTTTTATAACTCTCAAGCAAAACCATTGAAGGGGAGTTTGGTATGAGAAATTTTTTGAGAATATTTACTCACCTTTATTATAAGATTTTTGAATTTTTTTTTGAGAATCTGATTTTCTCGAGATTTTGTTTTATGTATAATTTTTTTTTTCTAAAATGTCATATAAAAATACTATCAAATAAGTGATATTTTGAGAATTTAGGCTCTGTTTGAATACTGTTCTGCAAAACAGTTTTTTAGTTTTCAAAAAACAAAAAAACAAAAAAATAAAAAAACTCGTTTGGTAAGACCTGTTTTGTAAAAAATATTTTGAAAACTATAACTGTTTTTTTTTGTTTTTAAAATCAAATTTAGAGAACATGTCTGAATTGTTTTTGTTTTCTGTTTTAATTTTTAACTTTCAAAAAGAAAAAATATAGAAAAAAACTGTTTCCATAACTATTTTACAAAACAGTTTTAAGAACAAAAAAATCAAAACACAATCAAACAGGCCCTTACACTTTTTAGGGACAAAATTTTAATAATATTTTAATTTACTAAATAACTTTGTGATAACATTCATCTCCTATATTCCTACTAATCATAATTTTCGGGCGAGAATTTTGTTTTTTTTTTATCCTATTATAGCACGTATTGGCTTAAAGAAAAACCACACTCGAGTTTGAAAAAACCACTCTCGAGTTTGACAAAACCAAGCGCCTTTCGTCGAGCACTTGGAGTGCGCAAATTTTAACCGCGGCTTTTGCTTGAGAACTTTGGAGCAGACCCAATTCCATCTCGTATCTAACTATCTATCGTCGCTAATACACTGCACGGCACCATGTTTGGCTCTCAACCTTCTTCATCTCCCTTCGGAACCCCTTCTTCAACCCCAGCATTCGGTACCCCATCTTCTACCCCTGCCTTTGGTACCCCATCTTCTACCCCACCCTTCGGTACCCCAGGTTTTGGAACCCCATCATCAACGCCAGCATTTGGGTCTTCTTCTACACCCTCCTTTGGCACTGGCTTTGGTTCTTCCCTTTTCTCCACGCCATTTTCTTCTCAACAACAACAACAACAGCAACAGCAGCAACAACAGACTCCGCTGTTTCAACAACAAGCAGCTTCTGGTTTCGGGTTTCAGAATTCTCTGGGAGCACCTCAACCCACCCCATTCCCAAATGCTCAATTGACTACTCAGATGGCTAACGTAGCTTCCGTTCCTTTCTCTCTCGCCGATCGTGATGTTCAAGTACTTTTTAAAATTTTTTACCACACCCCTTTTGTTACTTTCATTTTTATTTTAATAAAAATATTTACTTTGCATTTTTTATTGATTGATTTTATGTGTTATCTATGTTCTCCAACAAGGCAATCATTGATGCTTACAAGGAAGATCCTGGAAACCCTAAGTACGCTTTTAAGGTCTTCTCCTCACTGTCTTCTTCATTTTGAAAAAAAAAAAATCTCTCTTTTATGTGTCTCGATTGTGAAGTTTTTATTTTTACATTCGGGGAACCCTAAATGTGGCAGCATATCCAGATTTGTTTTTCATAGTATGCACATATTTATAATTTTAAGTTTTTTTTTGAATGATGGATCACATATAGGGTTCAAACTCAAATCTATATTAACATTACTGTTTTTCTGATACCGATGTGTCAAATGTTAGAGTTGCATTTGTTTGTCTTTATGTTTTCTCAGATTGGTGTTTGTCTGTGTTGTGCAGCATTTGTTATTCAGTGTTACTGAACCACAGTTTAGGGTGAAGCCTGCTGGTGTTTCAGACGTAAGTTCATATTTTTCCACTAAATATTTTAGTTGTTAGCTTCTTTTACTTTTTTCCCACCACTGGCTAATTGTGGGGAATAGTTTATGTTGGTAGATCATGTGGGCAGAGGCTATGGGGAAGCTTGAAGGTATGAAGAGTGCTGATAGAGAACGTCTGTGGCCACAACTTGTTCAGGGTTTTAAGGATCTTTCACAACGCCTTAAGGTAAACTTTATAAGATGTATTAAACTATGTTTGGATTGATGGAAATGGATGAAATTGAGGATAATGGAATGACATTAGTTGTCATTGTTTGGATTGTTTAAAATAGGGTGGCACTTGATAGAACCAACTTATTGTTTCCTAATCTCCTTACCATTCCTTTTTCTTCCCAAACAATGGAATGCAAACTTCCCTCCATTCCATCATAAAATATCTGAATATTAGTATTATAATTTTATTTCATTCCATTCCACCTGTCATTAGATATCCGAACAAAGTCTAAGCTTCTAGTCATTGTACATTTTAGCAATGTATTGATTTTGATGGGTTAACCACTAGAATTGTATTAGTAACTTGAATATATGGTCTTTTGAAGAAAATGGATGTTCATGGGGGCCTTTTGGCTCTTTTAGTTTAGTTTCTTGATATTCTATATAAATGGTCATCAGTTTCAAAATTTGGGTGCACATCATCAGCATTGATGCTTGGACTTAATTTTACATGCTAAAGTTGTTTAGAAGATTGACATTCGTGAGCAATTGCTCATGAAGTGGAGGATTCGGTTGTTTATGTTAGGATTTTGAAACAAAGAAAAGAATGTTTTGTAATGAAATGTGTCTATCTATGCTATAAGATATTGATGACGAGCGGTGATAAGATGGATTAATAGACATGCGGATAATTTTTTTTTTAACCCTATTTAGGATAAATAAGGCAAGCTAGTTGCATTTAGGAACATAACTGCTTCAATGGTAGTAAATTTAGATCAATAGTCATTGAACCCTGTCTTTTGAGTAGGTTTTGGCTTTTCTGAATAGAAATATAACTCATTACTAGGTAGATATTGAAATGCCAGTATGGCAGTATAGTGATGCTTTGAATATTGGATTTATTGATCTTCATCCACAGTCAGTATTTGATGCAAAAAATGGAGAATCTACCAAATTCTGATATAGAAATTGTTGAAATCTGAGAATCTTAATCTTGAGAATACATTTTAACTCACACATTGTCATGCAGATCCAAGATGAAGTCATTGTATCTGATGCAGAGAGATTACGTATAACCCAAAGCAATGTTAAAATGGTATTGCGCTTCCATCTGCTCTCTCAAGAGCAATGTTATAGTGGCACTGGCTTTTTTGTTGCACTTTGCTGACTTAACTTTCCAATTGCCTGATGCTTTTTGCAGCTCCAAAGACATTTTCAAGCTGATACTCTTCCCTGGATTCAAAGACTGAAACAGAAAGAACAAAATCTCCAGCAACGTCTTTTAAGAGTAGGGTTAACTGTTGTGTGTTTGAGAAAGAGACTGTTTTGTTGATTGTAGAATGAATCAATTCTCCAGCACAAAATAGCTATAATAAGCAGTAGAGATAAAGTTTTAACATTTCTTGTTTTGTCTGGTGTTCCCTGCTTCCCTACCCTCTCTCCAATTATATGCCCGTAGTAGTTTTTGGCTTTATTGGTTTAGGAATTCGGAAAGTCATATTGACGAATTGGAAACCTAGCGGGTCTGAGGCATTGGATTTTTATTATTCATTGCTCTTCTTCATCATGTCTTCTAATGTTGTGATTGAAGGTAATGAGAATAGTGGAGGCGTTGGAGGGAAAAGGCTGCCGTATACCCTTAACAAAAGGGGAAGCTGAACTCGCTGAGAAATTAGCCACAATAACTAGACAGGTAGAATTTATGTTCAATACCATCTTCTGCCTCCTGCTTTGTTACTGAGATGGAAACTAAACATGGAAATGTCTTTTCAGCTGAAAGGATCTGGAGCGGAACTATCTAGAAGGGTACAAAATCTACTAACTACATCGCGTGTTCAGGCTAATAGCAATGGATTTGGTGGCTCCGTTTATCTTCCGGGGTCAACCAAAATTCATGAACAGAGTCTAGCTGACCTGCAGGAGGTAAGATGAGACCAACCTGAGAGGTTTATTGTTTAACAACTTGATTGGTTTGCTTTTTTACCTTTTTTTTTACAATCGTTTATATGCGATAATGGATATGATAAAACTTGGTTCGGGACCATACTTGAGAGGTGGGATCAGGGTGCCTAAAGTATTCATAGGCGAAACTCACCCTAGCTTGGCGGCCGGCCACAATCCTCCAACCTGCGTTGTGGGTCTGCCCCCACCCACAATTTCGCCGTTACCACTACACCATCCACGAATGTGACCTGCAGATTTTGTGCTCTGGATCACCCCACATTCTCCCAAATGCCATAAAGCCTCTATAAAAGGCTAATACAATGTCAAGGGAGCACGCATACTTACACTTGAGCATTCTCAGCCTTCAAGAGCACTCTCACTTTCCCGGTGTACACACGCTCACCCTTGATTATTCCCATTAGACTGTTGGTTAGAGGCATCTCTACCACTTATAAGTTGATAAAAGCACCCGCTCATACTTGTTGGACATATCTGATTTGATTCAATAAAACTGAACAGTAATGATGTCATATTTTGTTGGGGCAGGTTTTACAGCAGCAGATGGAGGCCATAGCAAGACTTGGCAGTGTTCTGAAGCGAGATATACGAGATATGGAGATTATGATGGTCGATGACACAGGGACAACTGAAAATGGGATTTAATCTGAAGCCTTCTTGCGTCTTATTCCCATTTTAGTTTCTTTTGGTGCATATTTTATTTTAAATTATTGTTGATTTGCTTTTATTTATATTTGTTTTGAATCTACCATGATTTGGTAATTAGTGAGCACATCAACAGTTTCTAGTGAAACTTCTTTTGGCCTGATCGGCTTAGTATTTTTCTTGATCCATTTGTGCTGTTTCCGTTGTTATTTGAAACTTCCTATGCTCTTGAAGTTTTAGGGTTCAACGACTAGGTTACTAGGGAAACGTTCCGAAGATTGATGTGTTATTATTTTGCTAGCTCTATTTCTATAGGGATGAATATGATAGTTAAAATCTAGATTTATCATTATGATTATTTTACGTTAAGATTTTTTATTTCTAATTTGATTTTGGAAAGGATATTGTAACAACTAAGTTGTGTTACTACCAATCAATCTCACCGTTAGATCGCTTATGTTGATTCAACAGTTATATTTATTTTCACCTTTGTATGGTTATGATTTTTCATATTTAATACTTTCACTTTAAATATGGGGAATCATAATCATACAAAGATGAAAATAAATATAATCGTTGGATTAACATAAGCGATCTAACATAGAGATTGATTAGTAGTAACATGGTAGTAACACAACTTGGTTGTTGCAATATTCTTCCTCTTTGATTTTATGTAAATTTTTTATTTTAACTACCGGGGATCTACGAAGCACCGACACTTTAAAAATCCTGACGTGTAGTGTCCGACACTTCCCGACACTCTCGGACACTCCAACACGCGTTATAGAAATTCAAAAAAAATTTAAAGGTTGCGTTGCGTTGAGTTTCTAATTTCAACTATTAGACTCGTTGGATTATAATTACTATTTTATTGAGTTTAATATAAATATTTGAGATATCTTATGTTTCTTTGCAAAATTTATGAATATTATAAGTTTAGATTCATTTTTTGGTTAAATTATTGAATATTAAATATAATATACATTACATAAATTAAAAATATTATTTAATATCAAAACGTGTCTTAACGTGTTGAAATCTAACATTTTTTAGAATTAACGTGTCGGAGTGTCATGTCGTATCGTGTCACGTGTCCCGTGTTGATATCGGTGCTACATAGCCGAGGATGACAATGAAATCAAAATTTGCTACTGAAAGATATATTTTAGGTGCCCTGATTTATTAAAAGATATATTTTGGTATTCTGTCATAGATTTTTTTTTATTAAAAAAAATTAGTTGTTTGTAAATGTAAGACATTAATTTTTAGGTGGTTTTTGGATATTAAGATACTAAGTATTAAGCTCAATTGTGTATCGTTATTTTAGGTGGTTTGTGGATATGTTGTGTTTAATTGTATATCAATGGCACTTGCATATATTTTTTTGGAAATCGATGCTCTCTGCTCTTATGTAATTTAACATGATCATATCATGTGGAAAGATCTTAATCATTAATAATTAAATCAACGGTGATGATTATGTAACTTTCTATCTTTATATTTTTCTCTTTTCTCTCTTATCACCATTAACTCACCCATGTATGATTATGATTGCCTCACATGACATGGTCATATTAATTAGCACATAAGAGGATCTACTTTTTTTTTTTTTTGGTAGTTTGGGGGCATGAGCCCACAAACCAAAAAAAATTATAGAAGTCTACAAACGCGGGGTTCCTTTACGGCAGGAAAATCCCCAAGGGGCTGTTTGGTTGAAAGATTTTTTTGAGAATGATAGATAAATGAGAAGTGGGAATATAAGAAACCATCGTTTGGTTGAAGGTGGTTCCTGACTTAGCTACCTAAATCTGAAAGCTAGCAAACGTATTTGCATATCTATTGCAACCGATATTGCCGGCCAAAGTTGCCCTTCTCGTAGGTGGTATTCCTGAAAACCTCCATATTTGCTCACACCGTATATGTAAGAAAAGACCAGCGTACCCCTTGTTTGCCTAGCTACCTAAATCTGAAAGCTCACAACCGATATTTTATAAAAACAAGGGTATTTTTGTCATAGCACATTATTTTCCCATCTATATTTTACCAAAAGCCAAACATAGACTTTACAAAAGTTACCTAATTTCTCCAGTAAAATTTTTCCCAACCAAACAACTATTTTTACATTTTCCTACCAAACTCACTTCTCAACCATTTCCCTACGATTCATAAAAATTTCTCTTCAACCAACCGCGACACAAAAACATCAAACTAAGGTCTGCTGGAATAGATTATTGTCAAAAACTTTGTAGTCAGCCTCCTCATTACAGCGGAGAAGATAGTTTGCTACCCAATCTACTCATTTGTTTCCTTCTATGTGTGTTGCACCTCATTTGCACTTGCATTTTATTTAGTTTATTTGTAGGTTAAATTATCACGTAAAATTTTACAGATTCATTGAATTTATTTAATGTGTCTATAATTTAAAAGTATTTAACAGAGTTTTTGCATTTATGAAAAATCTTAAATAGGTCCTTGTTAACTAATCAACACTCATTTATACAAAATTATAAGAAATTATATAAAATATAAGAGTCTATTCAATTTTGTTATCTTTAAAAACTTTTAAAAGCATAATAATTTTGTTAAAAGTTTTTAGACTATAAGGATTCGTTTAAAAAAACATAACAAATGAAGATATATAAGATGAAAATTTTACATACAAGCATAATATCATTAAAATATAAAAAAAAGATATTAGTAAGGGACAATTGCTTCTTAATCGTAAAATAATTGCACCAATAGCTATATTCAAAGGGAATTGTCTTCTTATGATTTTTTTATAATCATATTAATGTTAGATCAAAATTAAATTAATAAATTTTATTTAATATTATTTTATAACTGTTGATTTGATTTTGATATAAAAATAAAATAAATTATTCTAAAAAGTTGTAAGTTAAAATAGGAAATAAATATAAACTCCAACATGAATTATTATTATTATTATTATTTTCTAATCAAAGTCTAAATATTCGGAAACTTAAAAATAAAGAAAGAAAGAAAGACAAAGATGAAGGGTAAAGTAACCAAAAAGAGAGGTAAGGACCGAAAGGGTGTTGTTATTCTTCCAGCGAAGAACAACGATTGTGTTGTTGCATAGCGATTTTTGACGCTCTCAATTGTTCTGGGAGCGGCAGTTGCAGCTTCGACTCGGGTAACTGATTCATTTTCTCCAATTCACCATTCCTTTGCTTTCATTACAAACTATCTAAGATCTACGCTACTTCCTCTTCTCCTTAGTGCCTTTTTTTTTTTCAACTTTCGAAATAAATAAATTCATTTTATATTGATCGATCCTGAATCTGTGTTCACTCTATTGTTACGTAAATTCATAATCTCATAGCACTTATAGGTATTAACGATCTACTCGTTTCATTATTGGTATTATTATTATAATTAGGGTACAAGTTTCGTTAGTTTTTCTACTTTCTTAAGAAATAGGCTTATAATTGAACTTAACTACTGAGACATTATAATCATAATTTTCAAATTTTGTGTTGCTTGTGCGTGACATTGGTTAGTTACTTGCTATTATTACATTCATTTTTTTTTTTTTTTGGGACATAGGTCTCATGTGATTGCTAATGGCATCTTTTGTAGACTTGGGAGGGAGGAAGGTGAAGAGTGATAGATTCTAAGAATACGATACGATGGTGAGGAAACTGTAAATTCTGAATCTCTTTGATATATAGTTCGCAGAGTGTGCAATGCTTTTTTTGTTTTGACATCTGTTTTTCTATTTGGTTTCAGTCAGCACTTTTCAATTTCCATTCATTTCTTACTGTGATACTACTGGGAATATGTGCCTGCACTTATTTCAAGATGCAGTTTCCAGCAATCCTTGAACAGAGAACTGGGTATATACCTGTATATATCTCTTGCCATGTATAATAATGTATATACTGCAATACTCATATGGTTTCTGGATATGTTGACATTGGCAATGCTTCAACCTTCAACCAAGTAGCATACGTAATATTATCAATGTTGCTTTTGGTGCAATGCTGCTAGGATAGAGTAATACTTTAGGGTTTTATACTATACTCTCTGTATGTTTGATGGAGGAGAATGGAGGGGAATGGAAGGTTTACCTCAGAGCCTTTCTCTTGTTTAAGAGTTTTTTTCAAATGAGGGGAAGAAAATAGGGGATTATCATTTAACCTCTCGAAATCCTCCCTTTATTATTTTTTATGAATGTTTTTAAGTTCCCCTAAAATTGAGGATTTTTGAAATCCAAATAAAGGAAAGGAAAATCCTTATTTAACCCTCCGTTCTCTTCCCTTCCCCCTACTCTTTTCTTTTTTGCAAGTTTTGATTATATGAACATTTGAAATTTACATGTTCAATTGATAACAAGGTCTTTACCCTAATTACTTTCTTTTTTGAACCGTAGGATGTATCAATAGTGTTTTTTTTCTTCATAACATATTTCTAGAATTCAAGGAACAAACCGAATTGATGACATACATGCTTTCTTGACAGATTTCGCGGTTTCTTCTGGAAGGCAGCAAGAATAGGTAGATGTCTCCCATATGATTTGCTACTGCATCGATTATTATTTTACAATGCACTTTTAAAAATCTATTTGCTTTCTTTATTTAAGCTCTGGAAAAGAGATTGGAGTGGAAAGGAGGTTGGGAAGGAGTCTTAAAATGGTTCCGGGTTACCGTGGAAGTTTTCTTTTGCTTTGTTCTGTGAAGATTTCTTGCTTTAGCTCCAAACGATTGATGCATTAATAACTTCTGATTTGTCAAATTTGACATATATTGCTTCATTTTTTGAATTACTTAACTTCAGCCAAAGAACATAGTCGTGTTTATGACATAACCTATCGGCAGTGGAAAACTTGGGATTCATTATGATGGATGCAAACACAAAAGTTAGATTACTGTTATATCCGCATTTTATTTATGTACTAAATCATGATTACATGCTTTATGATCTCAACCTTTTCTATAGGTATGATTCATTTTTATCTCATTTTCTAAATCTATTTTAGGTGTTTTGAAACTTTATTCTTAAATAAGTATGTTCTATATCCTTGTGAGATGTGAGCTTCAAAATGCTATATTGTGGTGGCATCCATGAGGTTGTTTGTGACATTGGTTGCTAGGTTTCTTGCTTTGCCATGTAGTTTTTGAATTTTGTTGTCTCACATTCAGTGCTGCACCAGCATGTTTGGATATGTTGTGGAATTTCTTTGTTTGATATTCTTTATTGCTTACAAAATACTAAAAGAAAGTGCTACAAAGTAAGTAAGAACAAAAATATATTTGATGGGATATGCAACCTAATCAGTGATGCTATCTTGACTATGCTTGTGTGGATGCTGAAACAGGTGAGCGTTTAAGCCCGTGGGTAGCTGTGGGTTGCTTCATGATGGGCGTCTCAATAATCTTCTTCTAATTTATGTTTACCTCTATTCAATAGTAAGTTGTCTCTTTCCTTTATGTGGGCAAATATCATACTAGCCATGAAACTGATAATAAAGAATAAATATGTTTAATGAGTAATTTTTTGCCATAAAATAATTAAAAAAAGTTCTTAAACCATATATAGACATAACACCTTCATTCAATGGAGATCTATTGGTTGATGGTGCGGCTCTTTTAGGGACCAGCTAGTAATTTTTCTGTATGAATTCTTCTTTACAGATGGTTAGAAGTTGAACCGTTTCTAATTGTAACACTGATGTGGGAAGTCTCTGACAAATATAATTTGTTTCATGAAATAAACAATAAACCGGTTAAAGAAATTGAAACTGGATCAGCTATGTGAAACATTTTGGGTCAAAGCATGCTTATATTGCGATTGCCACAAAGAAAGTCCTGGATGGATGCCGATTTGGTACTTATAGGAATCTTACCATTATCTTTGATTTCTTTTATGACCTGTTTTCCCTTGTCTTCCCTCCGATGAAATGGATGGCTTTTCAAGAACACACAGTCTTCTTTTGCTGAAACACCTTGTCCTGACTTTTTCTTCCTCCATGCCTTAAGAGCTCCACTCTTTTAAGGGGTCATAATTGTTGATCACTTCATCATGGTAGCATTTATTTAAGTATGCAAGTTTTATGTTTTTGGAGGGTTGGTGACCTCGTGGTTGATTGGTTGTGAACAAAAGGAAAGGCCATAAGTAAAATAAACTAATTTGCAGACTGAAAATAATGGTAACATCTTGTTTTTTTATTTTTTGTTCATATTATTGTGCCTCCTCATATAAGTTCGATATGGTAATGCAACACTAATAATTTAGGAATTTGATGCTTTGCAGGGGCATCCATTCTATGCTCTAGTGAAGTTTTGAATGCTAGATGATTTGCAGATCTGCAATAGGAGAGTTTGTACTTGCAAAATTTCATCGGAGCCCTTGAAACTCATTGTTTCTAGCTCATTTATTTATGTATAGCAGCTTGAATCAGGGTAACCGATTTATCTCACAATTGTCTTTTTGGAATGCGCTTGTCTTTTTTTTTTCCCCCCTCAGAACTAGGTGGTATTTTTGCTGTTTATCCCCTCAGTAAATTTGGATGGATGGAATTCAAGTAGCTAGTTCATCATTGGGGTCTCTAACCTCGATAACTAAGCCCAAATTTTATCTATACCAGTGTTTATATTTTTGCATAGAATGGGTTAGGCATTTGTTTAATTTTTTCACAATTAACTTATAATAAATAAATATCTTCAAATATAACTCATCATATTTGGCATTTGTTTAATTTTTATAAAATTAACTTATAATAAATAAATATCTTCAAATATAACTCATCATACATAACATAAAATATCAAATATAAATATTATTTGTGATTTAGATATTTCCTTTTTTGGTAAAAATGGTTTAGATATTAAATGTTACCTCAGTGTTATGAAATAATGTGTAAAATAAATAAATGAACTTCTAAACAAATTTGTTTTAAATACATATTTAGTTTAGGGATACAACATAGTCAAAAACTTGGACGAGAAAAGTTAATAATATATTTTTTGATACACTTGTAAATCACATGTTAGTTTTATTAACTAAAGAGTGAGTCCTAGTTATGTAACAATATTTACATACAATTTACTCAATAATTAAAAATGCATTGAAAAAAGTATATAAAAAAATATATTACTTACAAGAAGTTCTCATTTAAGGGACCAAATGGCGAGCGATTTGAGTAGTTGGCATGAAATTATATATTTAAACTCTAATAACATCATTATTTTAAAAAATATATATAAATAGAAATTTTCAAGAAGATAGTACTTAAAGTGACACAAGTTTTTTTTTTTTTTTTTTTTTTTTTGTTTGTAGTTTTAATCTGCTGTAAATTTACTGAGATTAACTTAAAAAAGCTTTGGCAACATGGAGTAGATAAAACTTAACAAGCCTTTCGCACAATTAAGATGCAAATTTCTATGACTATTTTTTATCCTTCTTCTTCACGGGAGTTGGAGACTTCTAATCATGCCAGTTAAAATTGAGATTTTACATAAAATTGAAAGGAGGATAAAAAATCTTAAAACGTAAAATCTTAATGTAAGAAAAATCGTAAAAAATTATAAAAGCGTTTAGAATTTTGATACAATCGTTTTGATTGAAAAAAATTATAAAATCGTGAAATCTAAGATTTAAATGAGAATTTTAACTACGAGGCTTCTAATGCTAAGCTGGAGGTGAGAGAAATTATTATCAATGGCATGTATCTTTTTTTTTCTTGTTTTTTTGGGTAATCAAGTACTATGTATCTTTATTTCTGGGTACGGCTTATATGCTTGTTAAGTTGATTCCTTTCCTTCTTGACTTACTATTTCTCACACCTTAATCGTTAAAAAAACCATTAAATTCACTTCAACGAAAAGCCCTGTCGAAAAATACAGCTAAACCAATCAAAGCAATCCACTTTTTATTCAATATACATATTGGAAAGTGACTACTGGAAAAGTAACTTTACAAAAGCTATATGTAATTAATGTTGATGGAACTGAACGAAAAGCAAAACTGAATATCATTTTAATATTGTCATTTTAAACAATAAATATAATGCCATTTTGCATAACATAATATGTCTAATGCTGGCTATGGGGTTCGAACCCATGCGCAGTTTAACTGCAGAAGATCTTAAGTCTTCCCCCTTAACCTCTCGGGCAAACCAGCTGTTTTGAGAGAATGCCTCGACTTTTTAAAAGCATAATGTTGTTATTTTCCCCTTACAAATGGCTTTGGAGAGAGGAAACATATAGTATTGGATGTGATCATATAATACTATGGATTTCTTTTCTAGTAGTATAGTAATTTTCATGCAAGGAACGTGGTCACTACTACATATGCGAATTGAGGTAATCACATGCATTCCATGTTCCATCATTAACTCCATTCTACAAAGTCGGTCTTCCTATTTGTTTTGATAGTTTTGTTCTAATAAATAAATTACAGAAAAATACTTCTGCAGTTACTGCAGATAAGTTATCTGTATTTATTCTCAAAACGATAGTATTTTAGGATTGAAATATTAAAAAATTATAATTATAAAGATTATAATAATCTTAAAATAAATTAAAATTACAAAAACACCATGTTTTTTGCACTAAAATAATGTCGTATTGAGCTTACTGCAGATAATTTATCTACAGTAATTGCAGAAAAAGTGAACCCATAAACTAAATACTCAATTAGTCATAAAGCATAATAAGAATTTAGAATAATTTAAAAGTCCGTAATTGAAATTAATTAATAGAAACATAAATAAATAATTGAAAATGGTAATAATTATGTATATAATAATTATTATTTTTTGTTATCAATAAGACAAATAGTAAACATGTTTTGGTATACACGCTGTTAGCTAGTTCGACTCCAGTGATCACGATTCACGAGGCATGAAGATTCAAGACAAAAAAATAAAAAAATGCGGACACTTACAAGTAATAATTGCATCCGTATCAAACACTTATCGGATACTTTATATATTCTGCGGTATATTTTATGATTTTTTATTTTTCACATTTTTTAATTAATAATAAAAATATCCTAATAATTGAATAAAATAGTGTTGTTTTATATTTAAAATGATCTACGCCAACTTTTTCAATATTTTCTTTGTATTTAAGATTTATATCTTATAATGATTTTATAATATATTATTGGAAGATATACTTCTCATGTTATATTATATAATTTTGTCTCTACACATATAAAAAGTGAGTAAAATTCACTTTTTCTCTCTCTTCTTTTAAATTGATTTTATCTAATTTTTTGTAAATTCACGAGACAAAATTATCTTTACATGAAAAATATTAATCCATATAGTATAAGGTTTTAATATTTTTCAGTGAATGCAGATAAATTATTTATATTCACTCTCAGAATGATATCATTTTGGGTTGAAATATTAAAAATTATAATGACAAAGACAACTATAACATTAGAATAAATTATCATTATAAAAATATTAATTTCTTTCTAAAATATTTTAAACTTAGTACATATAATTTATCTAAATTTACTACAAAGAAAAAACGAACACATATTATAGTGAAGCCATGTTTTAATATCATATCAATTCCATGCTCTGTGCAATGGATCCCGGAGTCCGGACACCATGAGTGGGAGCAACTAGCCCGCTTGTTCCAAATTAAAGCAATAAACACAGTCAACGAGAGACAAGCTTAAATGGGGACCACTTTCCCATGATGACGTGCTTGTTCCAAATTAATGCAATGATAACTGTCCCACGAATCCATAATAGCTTATGTTGTTTTCTTTTCTCATGATTTTTTTACTTATTTGGATTGACGTAATGTGCAAAAGTTTTTGTTACTAATCTCAAGTTTTTTTTTTTAACTTAAACGCAAAAGTTTTTATTTAAATCGTTTAATATCATCATATATATATATATATATATATATAGGAAAAAATTACTCTTATACTACATGTGATAACTTTCTCTCCTACACACCCTTCGATAATTGTGTCACTTTTTTTCTTTTCTTTTCTTTTTATTTTTCAGATGGTGGAGCCCATAAATTTATCTCTATGACATGAGATAATTTATCTCCTTTAACATGATATTAATAAAATCTAGAGTAAACACATTTTTTAGTTCCTAACAAAAAACACGGTCTCCACTTTAGTCCCTTACAAAAATAAATTAGTAAGTTAGTCCCTAACAGATTCAAAGTGGACCCATTTTAATCCTTTTGAGGGACTAATATGGGTCTTTTTTGAATTTGTGAGGGACCACGATTTCAACTAAATGGGTCCACTTTGAATTTGTTAGGGACTAACTGACTAATTTATTTTTGTAAGGGACTAAAGTGGGGACCGTGGTTTTTGTTAGGGACCAAAAATGGTATTTACTCTAAAATATATATATATATATATATATATATATATATATATATATATATATATATATATATATATATATAGGGAAAAACATTTCTCAAGTAGCTTGAGACAAGTTTATCTCTGGCAACTCCAAAACTACTTCGTTTTGTTTATTTATTTCCTTATATTAATTGATTCATCTTTGAATGGTTATGATTCTCTTTTTCTCTCTCTTCCTTTATCACCATTGATCTATCTTTGTACGGTTATGATTTAGTGGCCGGAGCTAACGTTATCTCAAGCAGCTTGAGAAACGATAAGCCCATATGTATATAAGGACAAAATCTTTTTACACTAGTCTAAGATTCATAAGTCTTACACCACATCTCAACTATTGATAGATAAAAATTATCGATTGTATTTGTAGTATAATTAATGATTAATTAATATCAATTAATTTATATGACTTTCTAAACTATAACCGATGGATGCTTGGAAATAAACGTTTGAGATATGGTGTAAAATGATCTTGATATATATATATATATATATATATATATATATATATATATATATATATATAATATTATTTCTCCAATCACTTGATATAACTTATATTAATTTATTCCTTTTAACTATCTACTACATGTAGTACATAGTTATAAGTTAAAGTTTTTTTTTTCTCTCCTCAGTCACTTTTCAAAACTTGTCTGTTAATATGGAGAGAAATAAAAAATTAACTTTAACATTATAACTATATATAACCCGTAGTATATAGTTAAAAGGGAGACTCGCTAGTGGCGGTTAACCTAATCGACAAAGGCTGCCGTGAAAACCACCCTCTGCACAACATTGTCAATAGAATTCGGAAATTACTCTCACAGGACTGGAATGTCATGGTCTCCCACAGCTATAGGGAAGGAAACATGCTTACCGATTGGTTGGCTTCATTTTCACATCACTTTGATGATTGGGATACACGTTGTTTTATGGAACCTCCAATGGATTGTAGACACCTTTTAGTTAGAGATGCTATGGGCATCAGTAGCCCTCGCCTGTGTAGGCTGTAGTGCTTTTGTTTTTCTTTTCCCTCTGTTTCCAAAAAAAAAAAAGCTTATCTCCAGTGGCTGAAGAAAAAAATATATATATGTATATAGGTTTTTTTGACCCTTTTACCCTTCATTGATTAATTAATAATCATTTTACCCCTTATTCAAAACAATCTATCAATTGGCCCCTATTTAATCGATTAACTTGAATATTTAATCGATTAAATGGTCAAAACAGGC